CAGCGATTTGCACCTGAGCTGGGGGTTGGGATCAGGGAGGGTGGGGGTAGAAGGATGCGAGGGAGGGTGGGGATAGAAGGATGCGAGGGAGGGTGGGGGTAGAAGGATGCGAGGGAGGGGGGGATAGAAGGATGCGAGGGAGGGTGGGGGTAGAAGGATGCGAGGGAGGGTGGGGATAGAAGGATGCGAGGGAGGGTGGGGATAGAAGGATGCAAGGGAGGGTGGGGAGAAGGATGCGAGGAGGGTGGGGTAGAAGGATGCGAGGGAGGGTGGGGTAGAAGGATGCGAGGGAGGGTGGGATAGAAGGATGCGAGGGAGGGTGGGGTAGAAGGATGCGAGGGAGGGTGGGGGTAGAAGGATGCGAGGGAGGGTGGGATAGAAGGATGCGAGGAGGGTGGGATAGAAGGATGCAAGGAGGGTGGGGGAGAAGGATGCGAGGGAGGGTGGGGGTAGAAGGATGCGAGGGAGGGTGGGGATAGAAGGATGCGAGGGAGGGTGGGGATAGAAGGATGCGAGGAGGGTGGGGGAGAAGGATGCGAGGGAGGGTGGGGGTAGAAGGATGCGAGGGAGGGTGGGGTAGAAGGATGCGAGGGAGGGTGGGGATAGAAGGATGCGAGGGAGGGTGGGATAGAAGGATGCGAGGGAGGGTGGGGATAGAAGGATGCAAGGGAGGGTGGGGGTAGAAGGATGCGAGGAGGGTGGGGAGAAGGATGCGAGGGAGGGTGGGGATAGAAGGATGCGAGGGAGGGTGGGGATAGAAGGATGCGAGGGAGGGTGGGGATAGAAGGATGCGAGGGAGGGTGGGGATAGAAGGATGCAAGGGAGGGTGGGGGAGAAGGATGCGAGGGAGGGTGGGGATAGAAGGATGCGAGGGAGGGTGGGGATAGAAGGATGCGAGGGAGGGTGGGGATAGAAGGATGCGAGGGAGGGTGGGGATAGAAGGATGCGAGGGAGGGTGGGGATAGAGGATGCAAGGGAGGGTGGGGAGAAGGATGCGAGGGAGGGTGGGGGTAGAAGGATGCAAGGGAGGTGGGGGAGAAGGATGCGAGGGAGGGTGGGGGTAGAAGGATGCGAGGGAGGGTGGGGGAGAAGGATGCGAGGGAGGGTGGGGGTAGAAGGATGCGAGGGAGGGAGGGATGTGTGTGCCGGGGACATGAAACAGGCTGAAACAGTACTGACAACCCACCACGCCCCGGCTTGAGCTTACCTGGTCAATGAAGCCATTACGTGTGGTGAGGTACACGGCAGGGTAGGTGGCAAATATCCCCCCAGTAGCCAGCGTTGCACCGTCAGCTATCAGCTCGCCCCCAGTGAAGTGCATGATGGAATCTAATAAACGCACACCCAGTCAGTCACACCCTCCCACTGCCGCTTGCAATGGGATTTTAATCAGTAAAACTCACATCTGACACAGAGCCTCTCACGTTAGGAGGACATCTCAAAGCACTTCCCACGATTCACTGTAAAGTGTAGTGACTGTGTGTGTAACGTGGCACGCAGTGACGTCCTTGCAAACAGCCGTGAAGTGAGTGAGTGGTTTTATCTGTCGCCCAGGACACCAGGAGGGAGAGAGCGAGAGAAACTCCTCTCTTTTCAAATAGCGCCACGGGAGATCATTCGTGTTCACAGGCAGACAGGAGAGCGGGTTAACGTCTCAACTGATGGACGGTGTCTCTGACAAAGCAGCGCTCCCCCTGGCCTGGAGCGTCAGCTTAGGCTGTGTGATTCCAAGTCCCAATGTGGGGGCTTGAACCCACAACCTCCTGACTGGGAGGCGAGAGTGTGAGTGAGTGAAGGGCAAGTCAGTGGAGGGGTTTGAAAGCGAGACCAGGAGATATTGAACACGACCCTAATACAGTAGGTGTGGAGTCCTGTAGCTCAGTGGTTAGAGCACTCGCTTTGCAAGCGAGAGACCTGAGTTCAATTCCAGGCAGAGGGCGAAACCTTGGGCAAGTTTCCTTACTCCACACAGAGCCTAATAATAATCCCTCCAAAACAAAACAATAATAAATTGGTCATTTTCAATCTACGACACTTTGTGGGACATTACTGTGCGCAATTGGCTGTCGCGTTCGCCCACAAATATACAGTCAATTCACTTTACAGTGTGTTCTGTGAAGCGCTTTGGGACGTCCTCCCGACGAGAAAAAGCGCTATATCAAATGCAAGGATTATTATTATTATTATTACAGTAAACTGATAACTGGTCACTGGGAGGGAAAAGAGCTCAGTGACTAGTTATCAGGAGCGGGGAGTTAGGTGTGTGTATAAATACAGAAATAAATGCAGGCGGGATATTGACTTAAGTGGTAGTTGAGGTACAGATCAGCCACAATCTATTAGAATGGTGGAACAGGCTGGAGGGGCTGAATGGTCTATGTGCCCAGTGACATGTTAAGGCAGGGTGGAGTTCTCAGGATTTTAGGGGATGTATATATGGTGAGATGTGACGTACCGTAATACATGGTAAAGATCACAGCTGCACCTACGAAAGCTCCAAAGGTCTGAGACAGGATGTAAAATGGCAGCTTCCACCACGGCAGCTTCCCCAACACACAGAAGCAGATGGAGATGGCTGGGTTCAAGTGAGCACCTTGATAATAAACCACAGACAACAACAACAACAACAAGATTCCATTTATTGAGCACCTTTCACGTTGGGAGGACGTCCCAAGGCGCTGTACAGTTGGGTCAGGACCCGAGCATTGGGGGGAAATGGTCAGGGTGAGGGGAGGGAAGGGAGGGAGCGAGGAGGGGGTAGAGAGTCGAGAGGAGAGCTGAAGGTACGGTCAAAGAGAAAGGTCTTGAGACCGGCCTTGAAGGAGGAAAGGGAGGAAGCGGCGAAGGCACTGGGGATGGAGTTCCAGAGCCTGGGGGCTGAGAGGCTGAAGGCCACCGATAGTAGGGCGGTTGGGGCGGGGGATGTGGAGCAGACCGGAGCCAGAGGAACGGAGGGTACGGGCGGGTAAAGTAAAGTGGGTAGACACAGTAAAGCCCAGAACAACAACAACAACTTGCATTTACACAGAGCCCCATGGACAGTGGCGGAGCACGACGCCGAGTTGGGGGAGGTGGGAGGTTACCGTAGACACGGTCGAAGAGGAAGGTGATCAGGCACGACCTGAAGATGGGGAAGGAAGGGGCAAGGTGGAGGGAGGGATAGAGGGAGAGAGTGACAGAGTTTTGAAGTGCTTCACAGGATATATTGTAAAGGGTGGGGGGGGGGGGCTGGGGGCGGGAGGAGGTGGGGGGTGATGGGGCGGGGGGAGTGTTGGCTGGGTAGGGGGGGAGGAGGCGGGGAGGGGTGGGGGTGGAAGTCGCCTACCTGAGACGCCTCCAGCTGCATAAATGCCAAACATGACGCCCACACCATAGCCAATGTTAATGGACAGGTATGCACCTTTGCTCGTGGTCTGTACCTGAGCAACCGCTGCTCCTCCTATAAACTGCCAACACAGAGAGAGGTTACTGTACACACTCACTCTCACACACACACACAAATACACACACTCACTCACACACCCACTCACACACCCACTCACACACAGAGGCTGTTGGCTGGCAATGTTACGGAGGTGGGGAAAGGCAGAGCAGGTCATCGCACAAATGTGGGATTTAAGGATAACTGAGGGTCGAACAGGACACAAAGGTTCCCTATTGGCTCGGTGAGGTGGAGTGCAACCATGAATAGTGCTCCTGTCAGCGCCTGAGCTGAGATGGCGCTGACAGGAGCCAAGCATCACTCTACAGAGAGAGAGAGAGAGGTTACCCTTCAGAGAGAGATGACTCAACAATGCAGTGTAATATAAATGATACTTTGTACACCGCAGAGTATTTAACAATGGGGTTTGACAGCCCAGGTGTCGACGGTGGTGAGAATGAGGCAGCAGCACTTACAATAACCAGGAAAGTTCCCAGGAACTCCGCCAAGCATTCCCGCACGAGACAGTTCTTCAAATGGAGCCTCCTCTTCACTTGTTTCAGGATGGCAGACACACTGGCCATGACTGCCCACAGCCACCAGCCACCAGCCACTCTGTTATTTGCTTTATGTCTGTGTTATTGTGACACGGGGCAGGTTAATGTACCAAAGGTACAGATAACACACTGAACTTCACAAACAATTACTAGGAACCTCTGCAGATAAGATTGCCTTGGAACTAACACGTTTCTATTTCCATTTTTGTCTCCCAACAACATAACAATAATAAAAATCCTGGCAGAGGTGTTGTGTGTGTGTGTGTGCGTGTGTGTGTGGAGTAAGGAAACTTGCCCAATGTTTTGCCCTGCCCGGGAATCAAACGCGGGTCTTCTCACTTGCGAGGCGAGCGAACTAACCACTACGTCACATTGTAATAATAATCCTTGTATTTGATACAGCGCCTTATCATGTCTTTGAAACATCTCAAAGGGCTTTACAGGATATACTGTAAAGTGTAGTGACTGTATATATTTGTGGGCGAAACACGGCAGCCATTTACGCACAGAAGCGTCCCACAAACACTCGTGGATTGATGTGAGCACATTATTATTATTATTTGAAGGGTTTATTACCCTGAAAAGCAATCCATCTATCGACTAACAACCGGTTTACATAGAAACAGGAAGAGGCCATTCAGCCCCTCGAGCCTGTTCTGCCATTCTATAAGATTTGTGGAGTCCTGTAGCTCAGTGGTTAGAGCACTCGCTTTCCAAGTGAGAGACCCGAGTTCAATTCCAGGCAGAGGGCGAAACCTCGGGCAAGTTTCCTTACTCCACACAGAGCCTAATAATAATCCTCCAAAACCAAAACAATAATAAATTGGTCATTTTCAATCTACAACACTTTGTGGGACATTACTGTGCGCAATTGGCTGCTGCATTCGCCCACAAATATACAGTCAATTCACTTTACAGTGAAGCGCTTTGGGACGTCCTCCCGACGTGAAAAGCGCTATATCAAATGCAAGGATTATTATTATTATTATTATCATGGCTGATCTGTACCTCAATGCCCTTGCCCCGTATTACTTACTGCTGGAAAATAAAGGTGTGTGTGTGTATGGAATAAGGAAACTTGCCTGATGCTTCGCCCTGAACCGCCCGGGAAACGAACCCAGGTCCTCTCCCTTGCGAGGCGAGCGCTCTAACCACTGAGCTACAGGACTCCAGTAAACACACACCTGGGCTGTATTCTACATTGGTTGAGTTTAGAAAAAATAAAACGTATTCAATAAAATTAGCACAATATATTTATTACAATGATTCCAAGTCCTGACATGGGGCTTGAATCCATAACCTTCTGACTCAGATGCAAGAGTATGAGCGACTGAGCTGACACACAAAGAACTAATGCCATGAAGGTCGCTGTGTTTATTGAGAGCATACAGGAGCGATGGAGAGAGTGGAAGCTAGGACACTTTGGGTGTATGTGTGTGTGTCTCAGTGTGTCTAGCACGGTTACTCAGAAGGAGAAGTGAAAGAAGCACATACATGATTTACAACAGACACACGCGCACACACCCTCAGTGCTTACCCTACACTGCAGCCCTTGCACACACACTCCCTACACACGCACACACCTATACATACAGTCCCTACACAGTCCCTGGACACACTCCCTACACACACACTCCCGACACACGCACACCTCCCGCACTCAAACATACTCCCTACATGCATACACACTGACAGACACACTAACACACACACTGATACACACAGACAGACACACTGAGACACACACACACAGACACACACACAAACACACTGAGACACATTGAGATACACACACACACTGAGACACACAGACAGCACCAACCATGAGTTGTTCCCAGGTAACATACCCACATGGGAAACACAAGTCACTTGCTGACACTTCAGATCAGGTGGTCGTATTCCCTGGGATCTGCCGACAATCCCAGGGATCTGCCGACATTCCCCGGGATCTGGACCAAATTCAACAACAACAACTTATACGGCATTTATATAGCATTTATATAGTGTCCCTTCGAGCAAGGTAGCATCCCAGCGCTCATAAAATATTCCAGGGATCCTGACAGCATTCCCAGTGGCCGGCGGCATTCCTGGGAACCAATGGGAATGATGTTGTGCCAAGTGACTGCCGGCATAGCCAGTTTGCTGCACATTTGTACTGGGCGAGCAACTCAAAACAATGTAGCTATGTGTGAGATTAACTCTTCAGTACAGCCTTGCATGCATTGGCCTGCGCTGCACAACACAGCACAGGACTGTACAGCACAGCACAGTTAGCTGTGGGCTGTTTATCGAGCGCCATTTACAGCAATGAGGTGAATCCAATAGGAACGAGGCCGGTGGCATCTCCATGACGACAGCGAATCCAGTCCTCGTCCACGCAGGCCACGACGTGAAGCATCTCCCCTCTGCGGAAGCTCAGATGCCCCCTTTCACTGGCCACATGGTCACACAGCACCCTGACCATTCTGCAAGGCAAGGCAAGCCACAGCTCAGCACCAGAGACACGAGACAACAACTTCTCTTTTAGAACTTGTGTACAACCCCTATATGCACTCAGTCAGTTTCACATCAAAACCACTTTGATTTCTTTACACTCGATTACAATAATCTTGGCATTTGACACAACGCCTTATCACGTCTTTGAGACGTCTCAAAGCGCTTCACAGGATACACTGTAAGGTCAATTGACTGTATATTTGTGGGCGAAACGCGGCAGCCAATTCTGCACAGCAGCGTCCCACAAACAGTCATGGATTGAATGACCGCATTATTTTTATTTTATCTATCTCATTTGATTTTCATATAGTGCCCATTTATTTTTATTGTTATTTTTGAAGGGATTATTACCCCCAGAAAGTGATCCGCCAATCAACTAACAAGTGGGTTCCTACTGACTGCTGGGAAACACAGGTGTGTCTGTGTGGAGTAAGGAAACTTGCCTAATTTATGCCTAGACTCCCTAGGCAGACAGACGGTGCAAGCAGAAAATATTGTTTGTTTCAAATGAGATAGATTTCTGTTAGGAAATAATATCTGAGGATATAGTATAGACAAACATATATACACACAGAGACAGAGTGACACACTCAGAGAGACAGAGACACATACACAGACAGAGATACACACAGAGACAGAGTGACACACACACACACAGATACAGTATATAGGTTGGAACGCTGTGAAGGGTGAACTGGACCTTCTTCTTTTATCTGGCAATCGTTCTGTCCTTAATTTAAATGTTATCCTGACTTCTACGCCTGACTGTTTTACTATTTTACACTAGCTTTCCTTTATTCAACAACAACTTTATATAGTGCCCTTCACACGGGATAGAGTCCCAGAGCGCTTTATTCAATCCCGTTTAAAAGCTTCTACACATCTGTGAAGTAGTACTGCCGTACCTGAGCTCAGGCCCCTGCCTGGCCTGTTGTTGCTGTGGTGGGGGCTCTGTGTGGCTCGTGGCCCCAGGCTCATGGGTGGGGGGGTGAGGGGAGCTCCCCCATGTCTCTGTCCTGCTTGAGGCTGATTTGAGCAGATCTTCCCATTGACCGAGGTTCAGCTGTAGCCATCGGGAGGGGAACCTGCAGGGAAAGGAATATCACAAATTTCCTCTCACTCTTTCCTGACACAGAGAGAGAGGGAGAGGGGGGAGAGAGTCAGGGGGAAAGAGGGGAAGAGAGAAGGGGGAGAGAGAGGGGGGAGACGGGGCAAGGGAGAAGGGAAGAGAGAGGGGGGTAGAGAGAACGGTAGAGAGAGGGATAAAGAGAGAGAGAAAGTAAGGGGAAGAGACACACAGAGACAGAGAGATCTACAAGTTGTTACCGTGTTCTCTGAGGTTCTGCTGCTTGATTATTGTAGGAAGTTTTAGCCTTAGCACCGAACAGTCTTCCCAGCCACAGCCTCTCGCCCTCTGGCAGCCCCTCCTGAGCCACGCTCTCCCTCTGCAGTAACTGCTGGCCGGGCGAGGATCCGGACCTTATCTGGTGATGGCTGCTAACAATGCTGGCGTTTGGCTGGGCAGTCGCTGGAGACTGGCAGCCTCTCTGTGGGGCTGGCAGGGGAGACCCACCTAGCACTGTGACGTTGCTCTCTATTCTACACCTCTCGGAGGGGATGGGGGTGGGAGCCAGGTACACACGGGAGCTCAAACCGAGCATCCGCCACCAGCCTGGAGCTGCCCGCTGATCCCAGCTCAGTGCTGGGGGCACAGTGACAGCCTGGGGGGGGCCTTGTGCTGGGGGCACAGTGACAGCCTGGGGGGGGCCTTGTGCTGGGGGCACAGTGACAGAGCTCACAGGCTGAGCCTGAGGATCTTTCTTCAGCTCCAATAGTGTGTGTGTGAGCTTCTCCCCCCACCCCACTGCCTGCTCCAACCCTTTCTGTAGTGTGGCCCCCACTGACCCCGCGCTCTCTGCCCCACTCCCTGCCCACTTAATCTCACATTTCTCATTGGCTGCCTGCTGCTCTCCTCGCTGATTGGTGCCATCCCCCCAAGCTGGAAACTGATTGAGTGAGGGCTGAGTGGCCGAGGGCTGGGTGGCCGAGGGCTGACTAGCCAAATGACTGTCCAAGAGGTGATTGGTTGGCTGTTCCAGGAAGTGGTGGCATTGGAAGAGCAGGTCCAGGTGGAAGCTGAGCACAGAGAGTGGCTGGAGGAGAAGCAGCAGCTCGTCAAACTGGGCACGGCCCGGGCCCTGGGCCAGAGCCAGGAAAGCCAGTGGCCTGTAGTGTTATTATTTCCTATCCCCCACCCATTCCCCCCCCCCACACAGACACTGAGTGAAGGAAAGAAAGAGCAAGTGAGTGTGAGTGAAGGAGAGAGTGAGTGAAGGAGAGAGTGAGTGAGTGCAAGTGAAGGAGTGAGTGCAAGTGAAGGAGAGAGAGAGTGAAGGAGAGAGAGAGTGAGTGCGAGTAAAGGAGAGAGTTTTAATGTTTGTTGTGCCTTATCACGTCTCTGAGTGGTTTGTGTTTATTGCTGCCAAGTGCAGTGACTGTTTTTGCAGATGAACACAGTGATCATTTTGTCCTTGACCAGGTCTCTCACACAGCCACGAGGTAAACAGACCGTTTCCTCTGAGGATTGTCGGTCAGGACACTGACCTGGAGAGAGATAGAGATCCCAGCAGCCCCAATGCTCCATTCTTTCCCTCCCTCCCTCTCCATCAATTTCTCCCTTAGATATCTATTCAGTTTCCTCTCCTTGTGATAAGATCGTTTTCCACACACTCACCTCACCATTCTCTGTGCAAAGTCCTTCAGGCTTACCTTTCTGTCTCTTACCTTACCTCCCAGCCAGCTTACATCTGTATCCCAGTGTTAAGAGTTTGTTACTGTGTTTCATGTGTATTATATGGGTTCATGACAAATATTGTAGTCCTGTAGCGTAGTAGAGCTCCCGCCTCGCAAGCGAGAGGACCCGGGTTTGATTCCCGGGCAGGATAATAATAATAATAATAATAATCCTTGCATTTGATATAGCGCTTTTCACGTCGGGAGGACGTCCCAAAGCGCTTCACAGAGTACACTGTAAAGTGAATTGACTGTATATTTGTGGGCGAACGCGGCAGCCAATTGCGCACAGCAATGTCCCACAAACAGTCGTAGATTGAAAATGACCAATTTATTATTGTTGTTGGTTTTGGAGGGATTATTATTAGGCTCTGTGTGGAGTAAGGAAACTTGCCCAAGGTTTCGCCCTCTGCCTGGAATTGAACTCAGGTCTCTCACTTGCAAAGCGAGTGCTCTAACCACTGAGCTACAGGACTCCACAACCTTAGGCAAGTTTCCTTACTCTACACACCTAGTAGTAAGTAGGAAACCCAGTTGTTAGCCGAATGGTGGATCACTTTCCAGGGATCATAATGCCTCAAAAAATGTGGTCACTCAATCGACGACTGTTTGTGAGACACTGCTGTGTGCAATTGGCTGCCATGTTTTGCCCACAAAACACAGTCAATTCACTTTACAGTGTAACCTGTGAAGCGCTTTGAGACGTCTCAATGACTTGATAAGGTGCTATATCAAATGCAAGGATTATTATTATTTTTACTCCCTTCAAGACGTTTTGGTCTGACCCACATGGAAACCCGTCACCGTGATCAGCAGGGTGTCTTGACACACACGGAAACCCATGACCGTGAGGGTGAGAGAAGGGAAGATAGTGAGTGTAAGAGAGGAGAGGAAAGAGTGAGACGATGTTCCATGGATATAGAAAGAGATAAGGCTATGTTTTGGGGGGGGAGATTGGTTGGTGGGCTGTTGTTTTGGGGTTTCTGTGGTGGGTGGGTAGGGAGTCTATCTCTATCTCTCGCTGTCTCTGATCAGAATCTTGTGATTATTTTATCAGTTGGACGCAGTCAGTCCTTCCCCAAGGAGGGCGGCTCGCACTTCAACATGACCCCCCCCAGAGACCAGGGCCATGTGTCCGCAACACTGCAGCAGAAAAGAGGTGCGGGGTGGGGGGGGAGTGAGTGAATGTGGGGCGAGTGAAAGATTGTGAGGGTGAGTGAGTGACTGTGGGGGTCAATGAGTGTGGGAGTAGTGAGTGATTGTGGAGGGAGGGAGTGAGTGTGGTAGTGAGTGAGTGTGGGGGAGTGAGTGAGTGTGGGGAAAGTGAGTGTGAGGGGGAGGGAGTGTGGGGGGAGGGAGGGGAGTGTGAGGGAGGGAGTGACAGGTTTTAAATTCACTTTGTTTGCAGGTTTGCTGCAGGCAGTGAACGTCTCTGTGGATAGGATCGTCGGCCATTTTAGTGTTGCCAGAAACCTTGTGCAGAAGGTAGGGCCAAGACATCACTCCCCTCCCCTGCCTCTCAGTCACTCCCCCCCACAATACCCCCTGTCGGTTACTCCCCACCTCTCCCTCCAGCTCGCACAAGACCCAAGTCTTGTCAAGGGCAGAGTCTGAGTTTCTGTCTCCTGATTGGCCAGTCCTGTTGTCAGGTACAGCCTGAGCCCTCCGTGACTGTCTTCTGATTGGCCAGTCCTGCTACTAGGTGGAGCCTGAACCCCATGATTGTCTCCTGATTGGTCAGTCCTGTTGCCGCGTAGAGCCTGAGACCCCAGTGCCTGTCTCCTGATTGGCCAGTCCTGTTGCCAGGTACAGCCTAAGCCCCCTGTCACTATCTCCTGATTGGCTTGTCCTGTTACCAGGCAGAACCAGAGACCCCAGTGACTGTCTCCTGATTGGCCAGTCCTGTTGCCAGGCAGAACCAGAGACCCCAGTGACTGTCTCCTGATTGGCCAGTCCTGTTGCCAGGTACAGCCTAAGCCCCCTGTCACTATCTCCTGATTGGCCAGTCCTGTTGCCGGGCAGAGTCTGAGTTTCTGTCTCCTGATTGGCCAGTCCTGTTGTCAGGTACAGCCTGAGCCCTCCGTGACTGTATCCTGATTGGCCAGTCCTGTTGCCGGGCAGAGTCTGAGTTTCTGTCTCCTGATTGGCCAGTCCTGTTGTCAGGTACAGCCTGAGCCCTCCGTGACTGTCTTCTGATTGGCCGGTCCTGTTGCCGGGCAGAGTCTGAGCCACCCGTGGCTGTCTTTGATTGGCCAGTCTTGTTGTCAGATACAGCCTAAGCCCCCTGTCACTATCTCCTGATTGGCTTGTCCTGTTGCCAGGCAGAGTTTGAGCCCCCCTTTCCCCCCCCCCCCCACCACCAGTCCTGTTGTCAGGCAGTGCCTCAACGCCCCCCCCCCCATTACTGTTTCCTGATTGGCCAGTGCTGTTGCCGGGCAGATTCTGGGTTTCTATCTCCTGATTGGACAGTTCTGATGTCAGGTACAGCTTGAGCCCCCTCCCCGTGACTGTCTTCTGATTGGCCAGTCCTGTTGTCATGTACAGCCTGAGCCCCTCTCCTGATTGGCTTTTCCTGTTGCCAGGCAGAACCAGAGATCCCGGTGACTGTCTCCTGATTGGCTTGTCCTGTTGCCGGGCAGAGTTTGAGCCCCCTTTTTCCCCCCCCCCCACCCCGTGTCTGTTTCCTGACTGGCCAGTCCTATTGTGGAGCCTGCAGCTCGGTGGTTACAACAACAACAAGATTCCATTTATAAAGCGCCTTTCACGTCAGGAGGACGTGAGGCACTCGCCTCACAAGCGAGAGACCTGGGTTTGATTCCCAGCAGGGTGAAATCTTGGGCAAGTTTCGTTACTCCACACGCCTGATAATAATCCCTCAAGAACAATTAACTTGGTCATTTTCCATCCACGACTGTTTGTGGGACTTGCTGTGTGCAATTGGCTGCCGTGTTTTGTCCACAAATATACAATCAATTCACTTTACAGTCTACTTAGTGAAGCTCTTTGAGACGTCTAGAAGACGAGAAAAGCACTATATCCAATGCAAGCATTATTATTATGATTGACCAGTCATGTTGTCAGGTACAGCCTGAGCCCCCGGTAACTGTCTCCTGATTTGCCAGTCATGTTGTCAGGTACAGCCTGAGCCCCCGGTAACTGTCTCCTGATTTGCCAGTCATGTTGTCAGGTACAGCCTGAGCCCCCGGTAACTGTCTCCTGATTTGCCAGTCCCGTTGCTGGGCAGAGCCTAAGACCCCAGTTATTGTCTCCTGATTGGCCAGTCCGGTTGTCAGATACAGCCTGAGCCCCACCACCCCTGGTTACTGTTTTCTGATTGGCCAGTACTGTTGCTGGGCAGATTCTGAGTTTCTGTCTCCTGATTGGCTGGTCCTGTTGTCAGGTGCAGCTTGAGCCCCCGGCGACTGTATCCTGATTGGCTTTTCTTGTTGTCAGATGCAGCCTTCCCCCCCCCCCCCTTACCCCCCCTTGGCTCTTTTCTGATTGTCCAGTCTTGTTGTCAGGCAGGGCCTGAGCCCTGGTGACTGTCTACTGATTGGCCAGTTCTGGGCAGTCTTGAGTCGAGAGCCCAGCAGTGTGAGGAGGGAACAGAGTGAGAATTTTGTTAAGGAATTTGGTGAGAGTGGGAATTCGGTGCAGAAGGGGAAAGAGGTGCAGAATTATAAAATATATAATATTTATATTAAAATAATATGAAACATGTCGGGGAGTATGGTAGGGCAGGTGAGACCGGTTGCCTGCACAATGTGTGCCATGTGGGAACTCCAGGATGCTTTGTGTGCCCTGGACACGAGTGTAGGAAGTGCCTCCGGCTGCTCGAGCTTGAGCTGAGGGTTTCTGAGCTTGAGGAGAGGGTGGTGTCACTACATAGCATATGGGAGGCTGAAGAGTTCATGGATTGAATGTTTCAGGAGGTGGCCACCCCACAGCCACAGAGGGTTCAGCAGGAGAGTGAGAGAGTGACCACCCGCATGGTAGGAAGAGGGGACGGGCAATGCAGAAATCCCCTGAGAGTGTGGCACTCACAAACAAGTTCTCTGTATTGAATACCGGTCAGGGTGATGACACCTCTGGGGAGGAGCGTCAAAAGCAAATGGATGCACAGGGGGACACAGGGAAGAGTGTCAATGGAATTGTCATTGAGGACACAATGATGAAGGGAGTAGACAGATGTTTCTGCAACCAAAGACGTGACTCTCACATGGTCTGTTGCCTCCCAGGCGTCAGGGTTGAAGACATCACGGAACAGGTGCAAAATGTTCTACAGGTGGAAGGGAAACATCCAGAAGTCGTGGTCCATGTTGGGATCCATGACATAGATCCTACAGGGAGAATATTAGAAGCTCGGAAAAAGCTAACGAGTAGGACCTCAAAAGTGGTGATCTCTGGATTACTCCCAGAGGCCCCAGTGACAGTCCCGATTGGCCAGTCCTGTTGTCAAGTACAGTCTGATCAGACAATGAAGTTCCCACCGAGCCGGACCACGTCCCCATGTCCCCACCCTCTACCAACCAACCCTGCCCATTTCCCCATGTCCTCATCATTTCCCAACAACCCCAAGGACGTAACCTCGACGTGTCTTGTATGCAGGCCCAGCTTGGGGACAGCCGGTTGAGCCCGGCTGTGGGTCAGCTGGTGCTGGGGGACCTGTGCCCTGCAGTCACCGCCATCATCAGGGACGGGCTGAAGCCATACCAGCAGGACGTGATTACTGGCCATAGGCGGAGCGCACCCTGGGGAGTGGTGGTGGCGTCGGTCAGGCCAGGTACAAGAGCCTCCAAGTGCTAACTGCATGCTAACGATGTGCCCACATACCCCCCCCCCCAACCCCTCGACTCCCGAGAGGTCAGAGTCAGTGGGAAGGGGTGGAGGGGTGGGGGTGGTGGGAAGGATAGGGACATGGGGGAGGGTTGATGGGTGGGTGGGACATGGGGTGGGTGGGGACATGGGGGAGGAGTTGATGGGTGGGTGGGAACATGGGGATGGGTTGGGGGTGGGTGGGACATGGGGAGGAGTTGATGGGTGGGTGGGAACATGGGAGAGGGTGGAGTCGATGGGAATGGCTAGGGGACATGGGGGCAGGGTGATGGGTGGAGACTGAGATGCCTGTGTGCCGCCCCCAGGCCCTGTGAGGAGCTCGCTGTACAGCTTGTATTGCACCGTTTGCCAGCTGCCCCAGCTCAGCAATGCCCAGAGGTTCATCGCATTCATATTTGGCCTCCTGAAGTAAGCGAGTGAGTGCATGTGCGCGTGTCGGTGCGGGGCCCCTGGCGTGTCGGTGCGGGGCCCCTGGCGTGTCGGTGCGGGGCCCCTGGCGTGTCGGTGCGGGGCCCCTGGCGTGTCGGTGCGGGGCCCCTGGCGTGTCGGTGCGGGGCCCCTGGCGTGTCGGTGCGGGGCCCCTGGCGTGTCGGTGCGGGGCCCCTGGCGTGTCGGTGCGGGGCCCCTGGCGTGTCGGTGCGGGGCCCCTGGCGTGTCGGTGCGGGGCCCCTGGCGTGTGTCTCTCTTGCCCCCGATCTCAGAGTGTCAACCTCTCACATTCCTCTCCCTTAGCCTCAAGGCCCTAGATTCCTGGATCTCTCATCTACACGGCTGCACGGGTGAGTGTGAGCAACCTGTGACTGGATGGTGCCAGGTGTGCAACCTGTAACTCGCGGGTGTCAGATTGTATAGAGGTTCTCACTGTTCATATCAGACTATATAGAAGGTCTCATTGTAAATATCAGGCTACATAGAGGTGTCAAAATATCAGACTAGTGTTAATATCAGGTTATATAGAGGTGTCAGTGTTAATATCAGACTATTTTGAGGTTCTCACTGTTAATATCAGTCTATTTAGAAGTGTCACTGTTAATATCAGGCTATATAGAGATCTCGGTGTTAATATCAGACTATATAGAAGGTCCTGTAGCTCAGTGGTTAGAGCACTCGCTTTGCAAGTGAGAGACCTGAGTTCAATTCCAGGCAGAGGGTGAAACCTCGGGCAAGTTTCCTTACTCCACACAGAGCCTAATAATAATCCTCCAAAACCCAAAACCAATAATAAATTGGTCATTTTCAATCTACAACGCTTTGTGGGACATTACTGTGCGCAATTGGCTGCCGCGTTCGCCCTCAAATATATAGTCAGTTCACTTTACAGTGTGTTCTGTGAAGCGCTTTGGGACGTCCTCCCGATGTGAAAAGCGCTATATCAAATGCAAGGATTATTATTATTATATTGAGGTGTCACTGTTAATATCAGACTATATTGAGGTGTCACTGTTAATATCAGACTATATAGAGGTGTCACTGTTAATATCAGACTATATAGAGGTGTCACTGTTAATATCAGACTATATAGAGGTGTCACTGTTAATATCAGAATATATAGAGGTTCTCACTGTTAATATCAGACTATATAGAGGTCTCAGTGTTAATATCAGACTATATAGAGGTGCTCACTGTTAATATCAGGCTATATAGAGGTGTCACTGTTAATATCAGACTTTATAGAGGTGTCACTGTTAATATCAGACTATATAGAGGTGTCACTGTTAATATCAGACTATATAGAGGTGCTCACTGTTAATATCAGACTTTATAGAGGTGTCACTGTTAATATCAGACTATATAGAGGTGTCACTGTTAATATCAGACTATATAGAGGTGCTCACTGTTAATATCAGGCTATATAGAGGTGTCACTGTTAATATCAGACTTTATAGAGGTGTCACTGTTAATATCAGACTATATAGAGGTCTCAGTGTTAATATCAGACTTTATAGAGGTGTCACTGTTAATATCAGACTATATAGAGGTGTCACTGTTAATATCAGACTATATGGAGGTCTCAGTGTTAATATTAGATGTTTGTGGTATTATATAGAGGTGACATGTGTGTGTGACTGCCAGGATGGTGAACTCAACGGTATTCTTTTGTCTCGTACAGTAAACTCTGGAAACTGTCTCCCTCAATTCCCCCCCCCCCTCACCCCTCCTTGCCCGTGTTCAGGTCGGGCCTGAAGATCTTCCTCTTCAACCGTGCGTATGGTCACCTCCCTCTCCCCCTGGCTTGGCGTCGTGCTCCACCACTGTCAAGCACTCTGGGACTCTGCCCTGCGTGTGTTGTTGTGTGTTCTCATGCTATCCTGTCTCCCTGTTTGCCAGACATGTTGCGGAC